TTTACATTGAACCTTATGGGAAAATTTGATTCGGGTCGTGACCAATTTGGGTCGTGACCAGAGTCGCGGAATGAATTAAGTTTGTGACCCGAGGTACCACTGTATTTTGATCCCACCTACACACAATATAACTCTGTAAATCTAAAGACATATGCTTAATCACAAAATTAAAAACTCAACTTCCCATTAGTCCAATTCTATTGCAGCTACAGAAGTCTAAAATGATTTATCCACAGCTTAGCTATATTGTGAAACTAACATTTCTTCAGAACAGTTTTTTCTGACTGGCTATTTTCTAGACATTTGGATTTCATCTCAAATAATCCCAAGGCACCATATCAGGGAAGGCCGCTGCATTCTAAATTTGCCTATTTTAATAGACTCTGACAGATGTTGAATAAAATGAAGTATACTCTTCATGCTGTTGGTAAAAAGGTGCTTATTGGAAATCAGGATGGTTTTTTAATTTGGCAAAAAGGTTGCATAATCTCAATTTAGATATTTAAAATAAAGATACACCTGATACCCGAGGAGGCAGGGAAAGAAGAGTGTGTCCTTGCTCACTTTTAGCACCCAAAAGGTACCTCCAGCAATTATGGCTTCCAAACAGATTGTTCATGACTGAATGTGGCCTTTGAAAATTGATCCCCATCATGCTTAAAATAGGGGTACAGAATTTTGCTCAGCCCAAGGCTTCACCAAGCTTTAGATGCCATGTTGGGAACTGCATTTTAAAAGTGGGTGGGGAGAATTTGGGACAGCAAGATCAGAAGTTGCAAGAGAGTATCTTAAGTTTATGCATGGCTTATGCCCTCCCCCAAGGGACATGACATACTGAGGTGGGGGGGGGGAATGCTTTAGTGTGGCAAGAAATGTAAGTAGGTCCGCACATCTACATTAAAGCTTATTTGGTTATATGTTTGGAAAGCTATCTTGATATTCCTGGTCAAAGACATTCACCTAAACACTGAGACAACTGCTTTCCTATACACTACTCCATACATTTTCAAAATGGCACGCCTACCAAAAATGTATTTTTGTTATGCCAAAGCATAGATTAAGGAAAGTAAACCTCTCAAGTGACACATGAATCCACAACAAACATATTCCCCTTTCAAAAATTACACTGGATTATAAAATCATTTGAGTAGACATACAAAGAAAATGTAGTAAATGTCCATTAATAGACATCACAGGTTACCAAATACCTTTATCCTTTGTTGTGTGATATAACATCCTAATCATTAAATGTATGTGTATGTGTGTGTGTGTACACACACATACACCTATAATTTATATACAGTGATAACAGCTATAAACAGCAGTAACAGATGCAGAAATAAATCCCATGAATAGAGCAACTTATTAAATACATTCTTCCATATATTCCAGTTAGGATGAGATTGAAATGTTATAAATTCCTAAAAGCAAAGGATAACAGTTCACTCACATCTAAGCAGATTGCTAGTGCATGTTATCTAACCAGATATACTTTTAACTGGAAAGAAAATAGAACCTTCATGTGATAAGGTACATCCAGTGCACATCATGTGTTCACCCAGTCAAAATATTCTTCCCGTGGCAGAATGGATACATACATCCCCTGTTCTCCTTAATTTAGTACATGACAGGACTATTCCTTGTGTAGAGTGGTACATGGGTTAATCTTCTCCCACCTCTGTTGATTTCACTCGAGTCAGGTTTAAGTTCACTTACACTGAAATCACTAGATCTAAATCATATGTTATTTGCCTAATTGAAAATTTGATCTGGGGTTCAACTTACTTGTTTTACATCATGTGTAAACTGGGAAGCAAGGCTAACACATATGGGTATCATGTAAAGAGGATCTACCACTAGCTAAGGGTCTAGACTTACGATTACGGCTTTAAAAAAGGGCAGGGCTTATATGAAAATTCATTTATTTTTATTTATATTTCAAATATGTCACCGCCCATCGCACTACAGAGTGATTCAGTTTACAGCAAAAACAGAATAAACATTAATTAAAATAGATAAATATTAATTAATTAAAATATACAATAACAAACTTCCTATGTAATACTTCCAAGAGGCTGATGTTAATTAGGTGTTAATAAACTCAGGGACTGTCTTCAAGGTGCCAGCCATCCCCAGAGTCAGTTGTATCTCTTCTTGCCCCACACAAGTTGGCAGAGCCAAGTCTTCAATTCCCTCCAGAAAATTGGGAGGGTACGGGCCCGCCTCACCTCTGGGCAGACAGTTTCCATAGGGCGAGGGCAATGGCAGAGAAGGCTCTCCTCCTAGGACCCACCAGTCGACATTCTCTCACCAATGGGATCCGCAACATGCCTTCTCTGCCAGACCGAGTGGGAGGGGTCGATGTAAAACTGGGACAGGAGGGGCAGTGATCTTTCTATTGTTACTGTAAGATGCCTATTTGAGGAAACTATATTGCAGTTTCCATCGGTACTTCAATTCAAAATGGTGAGGAATGATGTCAGTTTTCAGCAATCCTGATAAAAAAGCAGCTGGTGGGGGCCAGAAGTTGCTCATTCCTGCCATAGACAGAATGTGATCAAGATTTTACTAAGCTGAGTATCAATGCCAGTTGAACACCTCCTGAAAGTAATTTCACTCCTTAACACAAGGTAGAGAAATCTACTTTGCCAAGTAGAACAGGATAATCTTAACTTGAAAATAAGTTCTACCGCATTCACTGGAACTTGCTTCTTGATAAAGCCACAAATGGAGGCGAATACGTGTAGCTCAGGGTTGAGCTGTGGAATCCTTGGGGTTCTCTGAGCTTGGTTCTTTTCTTGCAAACGTTTCATTACCCGGCTAGATGTTACCTAGCCGGGTAATGAAACGTTTGCAAGAAAAGA